AAATAAAGAAAAACAATAATCTGTGACCACTTTATCAAACCCCCTCCTCTCTCAAAACTTCTGCCTTCCACACAATGCATGCTGGGATAAACTCCAGCGCCGCATCTCTCTAGGTAGAGAAGTAGTGGGTTGAGAAAATCAATGAATGAATAAAACATGATGGCTGTAGTGACTGAGCCTGAGTAGGTGGAAGCATGTCAGAACTTTGACCTGATGAGCGTCGCTGCAGTGAAATGAATGAGGAACCAGACGGGACAAATAAGAGAGGAGGGGATGTGCCAGGACAGCCTTCATATGGCGCATCCGTCATCCCCTTGTTAGCATCTTGGCATGCAAACACACCCACACAGACTCACACACGCGCACACACACACACACACACACACACACACAGAGGCCAGACAGCTTGCTGAGCCAGATGGCCTCTTGGAGAGGAGCAGCGAGAAGCTCCACAGAAGGACTGCGGTGATTTGTGAACCATGACCTCCACTCGTCCCTCCTCCTGACTCCGTGCAGCACGTGTATCGAGGAGGGATGGACGGAGATAAGATCACCGAGTGTGTTTGTGTGTCTGTGGGGGTGGACTGGGCATTGTGTAGAGGAGATTATCCGTACAGTGGAGCGACTATGTGCAGTGGTTTCAGATGTAAGCACAAGACTGATGTTGAATGAATAAGAATTTTCTAACAATCCAAACTTATACAGTGTTTAACAAATTTATTAGACCACCTGTCTAATTTGTTAAGCATTGTATATATATACACAATGCTTAACAAATTAAGCCATCCATCCAACATCATGGATTGCTTTAATTTGCATTCCGCTGTCTCTCATTTTGAACAGGAATGAGGAATTTCAAACTGAATTCACCTTTTTCTACCCAAATTCGAGCTCACTGGGCTTCAGAAATGAATCAAGCATAACATTGAACCACTAAAACATGTTTTTTGTTCAGGAATGCAAGTAAATAATTATAATTTGACATCTTAATCAAGAAATAATAATGTGCTTTACTATTTTTTCATTTTTTTATTAATTATTTATAAATTATTATTTTGAAAATTCATTAATAACAACAATAGTTATATTTTAGCATTAAAAATATAATTTCGATTCGGCTGCATGGTGGCTCGGTGATCAGAACCATCGACTTGTAGCTAGAAGATCCCGGTGAGGACACCCGGGATCTTTCTGCGTCGAGTTTAAATGTTCTCCCCGTGCAGCGTGGGTTCTCTCCAGCTTCTTCCCACAAGGTCCAAAAAATTGTCCATAGGTGTGAATGTGAGTGTGCTTGGTTGTCTGTCTCTAAGTGTAGCCCTGTGATAGACTGGTGACCTGTCCAGGGTGTCCCCTGCCTTCACCCTAAGTCAGCTGGGATAGACTCCAGCCCCCCGAGACCCTAGTGAGGATTAAGCGGTGTATAGATAATGGATTGAATTTCGGTTAAAGAATTTCTACATATTGGTGTATTAACCATTACAGAAACATAAGAAATGATTTTGGTAATTACCAATGCTGTTAATTTAGGGTAAACCTTACACTGAGTGGTGGTCTTATACATTTGTTAAGCACTGTGCATAGTCACTGATCACTAATTAAACTTTATTGTTTATTATTTAACTTTGCATTACATGTTACCTGATTAGTTTTTTCCCTGTCTTGTTTTAAAGTCAGTAAGATTGGCTGTGTTATACTGAATTATTGCCCTACTTTGATATATCTACAAATATTTGTTTTATTGGCATGTGAGAATAATATCTCACTCTCACAGCTGTGGATTTATGCAGGAAAGGAAGCCAAAGGGCTGAAACAAAGCGCAGAAAAGAGACAGGAACTGGTGCATTATCAGTTCAAACTCAACAAAAGTTTGGATTTAGTGACTGAAACTTTAATTATTTTTCACAGTTACAAAAAGATAAACACTTCCCATTTCTTTTGTGAGTCTTGAACAAAAACCTTCTTGTTTGCCCACGTGACATCTGTGGCTGTGCTTTTTTTCTCCTTGTTTTAAAACACGCGTTTGTTTAATTCCAAAACCTCCACTGAGTTTAATGAACGTGATGATCACACATGCAGTGATTTTTGACCTTTGCTCGTCGTAGAGAATAAAACTGTTATTTATGATTTCAAGACACAAAGAGGGAGATCCACCCCCTTCATATCGCCTTCTGGCCATCTCTGTCTAAATGTGTGTGTGTGTGTGTGTGTGTGTGTGTGTGTGAGATTGCATTCATGAGATCACCATCCAGGAAAAAGGGGAAGCAGGTGGAGAATGTGGGTGTGGCGACAGCAGAGCAGATCCATCACAGCTTGGCATGTGTGTACCAGTGTGGGTTTCCTTTGTCCTGTCTTCTCTTATTTACCAGTGACTGATGCACACACACACACACACACACACACACACACTGAGCCTCTTCCTAAACAGTATTGAACTTGGCTGGAATATGTAATCCGCCTCATGGTGGATGGGAGTGTTTGTTGTTTTTGTCTGATGACTTGGACTCTTTGGGTGTTTTATGATATTCAGCTTGTGTCCTGGATGGATTTCATTGTTTTAAACAGACAAAGACATTGTATATCATCTCCTACCAAAACTCTTTTAATTATTTTGCATATATGGCGTTCATTCTTTGTGCACGACACCCCAAGACAATTGAATATGATCAGATTATTATATGATACAGTGTAAGTGGATATATCTATGCATAATTTAAAACAGAGCAGGCACGTGTTTCCAGTTGCAGCTAAGAAGCTACTCCACAAAATTACAATGTTAGACATCCTATATGACATGAAAACCTAAGAAATTGCACCAAAACCACAAAGAGAAAATGTAAGAATCTTTATTAAAACTATCTGCTGACTAAATGTCATGTCTTCATTTATTTCTTTACTTTGATTGGTTTAAAAAAAAAGAAAAAGTAGGACTGCAGGGGTTAAACTTATCAACATAACTTGGTTTACACAGCTTAAACTGGTGGTATCCATGTTTTTCTGGTGCAATAGCAGCTACAGAACCAAGATATACTGCAGATTAGTGGCCCAGTCACTGATATTTCGTGTTCTGATTCTCATCTTTCAACAGGCAAATAAACCTGAACAGTAGAAATAGACTGAAAATATTCTGCATATTTTTTTTTTTTAGAAACCCTCTGAAGTTAGATTTTAGTTTTTCAGACTCTCTGGGTGTTTTGATCCCAAAACACACCAGTAGGTTTAAAAAGCATGCTGCATTTTGTTTTATGTTATTTTTAAATGCCAAAATTACAATATTTATCACAACCAGACACTGTCAAACCAGAAAGAGTCATCAGATGTTCAACTTATCGAACACACCACAGTGATAATCTGTGATGTGTTGTTCAGTCAGGAAAAACAACCATGTTTCACTGTAAAGTCAAGATTTTTAATCAAAATCACTTTTTTCTAAATGTCTCATTTATCAAAAATAAATTATTTGCACTAATCAGATTTTGTAAAAAAAAAAAAAAATTCTGAGATCCTTGAGGAAACTGTAAAGAGACAGCTAGCTCAGCTTTAACCAACAGTCACATGACAAAAATGTAAGAAGTAAAACATATGAAGCATGTAGAGTCACAATTTCTTCTAGTTTTAATATCTGTGGGCCCTTAGAAAATGTTGGACATGTTGATTCCACCCACGACCCCAGTGAGGATTAACCGGTGTATCGATAATGGATGGATGGATGTTGATTCCAGTTCTTGTCAGTTTTTGTCGAATACATATTCAAAGTTGACTTTTTTTGTATAATGTGTGGCATTCCAACTTTGTAACACTGCACTAAAACAGTTTTGAATTCTTAGTACTTCTAGTCATGTTTTTTGTGTTTCTAGATCTGAAGGACTTTATACTCGAGTGAAAAATGAGACCACAAACAATAAAAATGTGACAGACGCAAGCTTGCAGTTCAGAGAGTCAGAGGATCTGAAATCTTGTTTGCTTTATATTTCATTTCTGGAAACAAGCTGAGCACCAGCGAAATGAAATTATTCAGCAAACCAAATGAAGCGTTGGTGAGGAACACCACGTTAGCTGAGGCAGAAGCTGCTGATGGAGACATAAACAATACATTGTACCGTATGCATACAGTGCGACGCCTACAAAAATTAGGCAGACGATTGTGAGGATTCCTCCATTTAGGAAAGAATTAATGCAATTTAGTGAGCATCAAAGGCTGTCAAACCCATTAGTAGTGGTACTCAGATCTAAGCACACACGTTTTATGCAAATTTGAACGCCTGCATTGTCTCAAATATTTCATGCATTTTTTTCTTCCTAAACGTTGGTCTGATTACACTGCTGGACATTAAGTGTCATCAGAGACCAATGTCCATTTCTAATTGTTCATTACTGCTAATTTGCTTAATGCTGAATTATTTACACCAGTCTTGAGTTGCAATACGGTGAAAAAAAGTGTTTTCACACTCAGCGTGGATTTTGTCGACTCTAATCTCAATAAAATGAATCCCTTTTTCTTAAGAGGCTGCACAGTTTCAGTCCATGAAAGGGGGGTTTCAGTGAATTCGCTTTAGGCCTGGATCAAGTGTAATCTGAGCATCCACAGAGAGCTGTCTGTGGGGTTAAACGATTACATAACCGACATCTTAGGAAAAGCCTCGAAGCCTCACTGGTTGTACTGGTTGCACAGTTTGAGAGAGAAGAGCCTTGATCCAGCCTTGTACAGAGCTAATATTACAGTCTTATGTAACCGATTGTTTGACCCTGGCGATATACCAGTCCATTTGATATCAGGTGATTTATTCTTCTTCCTCGGGATGCGTGGTTTTTGTTTTCAATAAGCCTGGAAAATTTTAGGTTTCAGATTTTCTTTTTTGGTCATATATGAATAGATTTTATATGAACTGGACTGCATAGAAAATACATTATCTGTCTCGTTTTTAAGTTAAACACTTGTAAATCTGATGCTCTTAGCAGTAAATGAAAATGAATGACATGGCATTTTTCTTCTGTCTCTGCAGTGCCAGCTCTCACAGGCTCTGAACGGCGTCTCAGACAAAGCTAAAGATGCCAAGGAGTTCCTGGTTCAACTCAAGAACATGCTTCAGCAGATACAGGTAACAACACACCTTTGCACTTCATTTAATGTCAGATATCTTGTTTTTATTTATTGATTTGATCTGAACAACTGTAGATGAGAAGATGTCTTCATAGTTTGATAGCATGATAATGTTCCGCTCACATCATCAATGACAAACCCATAATGCCCTGGGGCAGGTTTCCTTACAGAAGCAGCAGATATTGATTTTCCACTAACTTTGGCCTCTGTTTATATGTAGCAAAAATGGTGATATTTCAATGCGTTTGGGCCTTTGGTTTACACATAAACGAAGCTACAAAATGATCATATCTGAAAACTCCGGCCAAAGTGGAGATGTGGAAAAACTCCATCTTTACATTTGCATGTAGACAATAGGAGACGGAATTTGACGCCACAGTATGCGACAAAAGCGTCATCAGCACCATATGTGTGCGACCCATCTTTACATGTTTACCAATGCGTCCATATGCTTGGATCGACATGTTTCTCGCTGAATATTTTCAAGTATTCTACATGTTTTGTACTCTATCACCACATTTAGGAGTAGCTCCACTTCTCTGTTGATCCAAACAAATGACCCTCGCGCCATTAAAGTGACAGGAAGTAATTTGTGCCATTTGTTGTTGTGTTTTGATTCTGACTGGCTAGCATGGCTTTATGCTTCTTGTTACACTGCCCCCTGTAGGTTTGGCATGCTTATAGCAGCTCTTAACAACGTGTTTATGTGGGTTTGTGGAAACGAAGATTTTTTTGAAAACGATCTGGTGTGAATGATGTTATTTTCGAAAACGCAGATAAGTTCTTGTAAATACCCAGCTATGTGTAAACGTGGCCTTAGTCTCAGTAGCTGGACTAACACACAAACAATATAACAAAAACAAAATACAGTTAAAAAAGTCTTTGTTACATTGAAAGTAAGTAAAACTTTATTTATACAGAACGTTTCAAAACCAGGATAACAAGGTGCTTCACAGTTACAAAAAGATGAACATTTAAGTGAATAAATACAACAGACATAGACAATGCTTGTCTATGTGTCTGTTCCCATTATTTCCTATGTACAGCTTCCAGACAGGCAGTGGGTTGGTGAATGCCGCCTTGCAACACTTCACACCGCGTTCTTATTTCCAGCCTCGCTGCCCCTGAAAAAACACGAGTTATTGTGCTCTCTCGCTGCTCGTACATCCCGGTTCCCACAGCAGCCAGCTCCCTCTCCTCACTTCACCTCTTGCTGTCACCACCTCTTGAGTGTGTAGATATGGCAATGCATTTTAAAATTTCATAGTCAGACTAGAAATGTATTGCAGATATCAGTAATTCAATTTTATCCTAGTCCAAAAGAACATTTGAAGATATCCACAATGACATTCTTCTTATCCACAGTTGTCATTTCTGATATCCACATCATCACTCTTCCAAGGACAAATGATATCGCTTTTACCATTCATGTGAATGGGGTTTTTCTTATTACAGACATTTACAATTCAGTGTTATATATCTGCATTGCGGTTTGCTTTTCAAACATACGATGGAACTGCAACCATAGCGGCTTATGATGAACAGCTTTACTGCCATGTTAGAGCAGCCTGAAACTGAAACATTCAGCCAGACAAAATAAGTGTTATTACATGTGCTATTACATTTAACATGAAGACACCATGGAAGCAACTTGTACCTTTGCACATATAATAATATATAAAACCTTTGTACAACAGTTTTTGTGGTTCTGCAAACGAGTCCACGTCACTATTTTGAAATGTCAAAACGGGAAAAAAGTGGAATGTTGGTTTCCCATACTTGGCACACATCAAATTCTACTGAAGTCTGAGGCTTGAAAAGGTGATAAAATGTCACTCAAAGACCATATTTGCAATAGGAAATATGGATACATCCACAAATATATACTGTCAGCTACCACCATCATTTGAAAAAGCTGCACTTTTTACCATTTCAAGGACCAACAAAAAAAGCATTGGAGCCATTCCATCACTTGGATTTCGTCTTTGTCCTGAACAAATTTCCCAGCTCTGAAAACATATAAAATTCTCAAAATTCTGCCAAAAATGTTTTGCAAAACTTAATCTTGAGGCCAAAAAGCAAATAGGAAACTCTGAGCAAGACCAGAGACAGTGCAGTAACACGTAGACTCAATTCTGTCTGAAATGAAACGGCCTGGTGGGGCGTCGCCCTGGAGATGAGCTCTTTAGGTGAGATATCAAGTTTAAGCAGTGGGTGTCCACACATGGTTTTAAGCAAATGTCTTTTGAAAAGCTTTGGGTGTGCCTATTATGACACCATGGTGCCATTACAGCTATGTGTTTTCAGCTTAAAAAAACACAAATAAATCAGGAGGTATCACTCAAGTCTGGGTTTGAGGACAAAAAAAAATCTTAGTGGGTGCTACCCAAGCTGAACGCCACATGGGTGCATTCAAGCAGTAAGTCTCAGATTTGATTCCAGGAGAGACTGGACCTTTGCTCCGTGTCTTTTTCCTGCTCTCTTTCCCCACAGTTCCTGTCTCTCCACTCTGTTCACTGGAGACAAAATGCAAAAAGGAAAAAAAAAAAAAAAGTCGCCACAAGCCCTTAACTGTCAGCTGTGTGTCGTACCTGAACAAGACTTTGCCCACCGGAAAAACAACAGCGTCTACTGTTTGTTCAAAAAACTCAAAACAACCTTCCATTAAATATTTCTTGACAAGTGACCTTTTGTGGCCGAGTGATTAATGACCGCTCTCTCTCAAAAACAAAGACAGAAATAGTGACATAGTGATGTAGTGCTGCAGTACATCTTAAAACAGAAGTACAAATGGGGGACTGAGCATACAGAATGTCTGACTTTAGACATTATCCTAATATTCTATACTTATCATCACACATTATTCTAACACATGTGAGCAGGTAGGGCTCTCCTTCACTCTCCAGTACACCCAGTAAGCCATTATCACTCTATTTGTTGCTGGTGTAGCATGGTTAAGGTTGAGAATAGAATCTGGATCTGGGTTAAAGTACACCCATGTGCTTCCTTGAGCTCCATTCTGTCCGATGCTGTTTTCTGGTGGGGACGGTGTAAAATGTCCACTAGAGACAGATTTTACACTGTAACTTGGGCAGTGATAATGGTCTTTAAGTAGACTTTAATAATACTTGAATTGGTTAGAGGCAAGGTGGCTCGGTGGTTAGCACCATCGCCCCGCAGCGAGAAGATACCCGGTTAGGATGCCTGGGATCTGCCTGTGTGAAGTTTGCATGTTCTCCCTGTGCAGTGTGGGTTCTCTCTGGGTTCTCTGGCTTCCTCCCACTTTCCAAAAACATATTGAGGTTAATTGGTGATTCTAAATGTGAGCGTGCTTGGCTGTCTGTCTCTAAGTGTAATCCTGTGACAGACTGGCGACCTGTCCAAGGTGTCCCCTGAGTCAGCTGGGATAGACTCCAGCCCCCAGCGACCCTAGTGAGGATTAAGCGGTGTATAGATAATGGATGGATGGATGGATGAATTTGTCAGACTTTGGCACTTTGGGCTATTCTAGATTTGTCTTAATTTTTCACATGTATTGTGTATTGAGTGCTGCAGCAGACAACATGTTTACTCATGGAGCTACCCCAAAGATGCAGTTTTTTAGAGGCAACTATTTTCAAACTTGCTTAAATTGCTGTTCAAGGAAACCTTCAAGGTTTCAGGATTCCTTGCTTTTTTCTTTCTTTTTTTTTTTTTTTTACTTGAATTTCTCTCTATCGCCATAAGTGTGACAACACAGAGGCCTGGCTGTGCAAGATTGTACCAGAACCGATATCCACGTCTGATCACTTTCCCACACATGTGAAGCTCTTTACATAATTTACTGTACTTCACCACTGCTGTGTGTTGGACTAAATGTCTCCTAATGGACAATAAGTTTCAGATAAATCAGTCACAGAGCAACATTTGGACTCCACAGTCAGCGGCAGGGAGATAAATCCAATTAATCGATAAACTAAAAACAAACCTTATCGTCCACATTTTTACAGTGCCTGTGTGTGTGTGTATGTTTGCATGTGTGTGTGTGTGTTTTCCCTGTAGACAGCATTACTGTGCAGCTGATCTCTGGCGCTGCATCTGCCTGCTGTGCACACAGAAACGCGCACATGTGCACACACACTGTCTGCACGGACATGACTTGCTGCAGCACCGCAAGCAGGCATTAAGAGTCTTATTACAAAGCGAAGAGGATTGCATTTAAATACAAACAAAAAAAAAAAACCCTTAGCTTGACTTTGCTCTGTCTGAGAGGCAGTGAGCAGGAAAAGAGAGGGATGGATAAAGAGAAAGACAAGTGTACAAATGAGGAGTAAATATCTGCAGCACTCATCCTCTTACAGATCTGAACTGAGTCCCTGAGCGGAGGAAGCTTGATTGGAAATCACTGCTGTAAGACCTCATCTCCTTATCAAGTGTGTCTCAGTGCAGCAATGAAATGCCCCTGTGGATCATTCCCTCATTAACAACCAGTTATTGTAGCTGCTGGATGAAAACCTTTAGGACATTACACAGGGGCTTCTCTCTGTTAATGGATGGGCTGCAGTGCTTATATGGAAGTAACAAACAAACCGAATGCAGGTTGTCAAAGCATCAACCTTTATTGACTCCGCTTTAATATATGCTATTCTTCTAGGAGTTGTTTTGATGTGGACATGTTTGTCCTTAACACCCTGAGTGTGAGTTTTTCTTTGTTCCAGTGACAGAACAAAATGTTGTTGGTAATCACTGGCTAATCCCAGACTGTGATAAGTAGATAAATTGTAATCCTAACATTTATTTTGCAAAAAAACCAAACAAAAAGAATAAATAGAAAAGACATCATGTAAACATCCATCCATTATCTATACACCGCTTAATCCTCACTAGGGTCGTTGGAGGTTGGAGTCTATCCCAGCCGACTTAGGGCAAAGGCAGGGGACACCCTGGACAGGTCACCAGTCTATCACAGAGCTACACTTAGAGACAGACAACCAGCACACTCACATTCACACCTACGGATAATTTAGAATCACCAATTAACCTCAACATGTTTTTGGACTGTGTGGTAGGAAGCCGGAGAACGCGGAGAGAACCCACGCTGCACGGGGAGAACATGTAAAACAGTAATAAATGCCTTTAATTAAATTTTTTCTGTTGGTTTCTATCTTATTTTTTCCCTTCTTCCAGCAGCGTATGGCTTCTGTGTTGGGTCATGTAACATTTTTGTCAGAACTCTGTTAAACAAAAAAATGTAGAAGCTAAAAATGCTCAAATAATGATGACATGCAAAGATGTGAAACAAAAATCAGGCAAATTGTTTATTGCTTGCCACTTTTTTGAAAACTGAACCACAACCTTTTGTTCTCTGTTGTTGTGATGTAGTTAACTAATCATGGCCCACAATGAAAAAATGTAAGTATAGTCCAGTCAAAATTTGCGCGCCACTCCAGCTGCAAATGTCTGCTTGTAATGTCGTGCTGACCTCATATTGTGACCCAAAAAAAAGGCTGGTCACAGTCAGAGAATGTCGGTTAATCAAAGCACAAAACCACAACTCTAACTGACAGGATGGTATTTCCATGTGCTGCGTTTTAAAGGAAAAATGGTGGAGAGTCTAGCAGTTACACGGTGAATATGATGAATGATTCGCTTGTGTGCGCAGCCTATTGAAATAATTAACGCCGTATATTCATGTTTTTGTAGCTTCGGCAAAAATAGAACAAGCTGCGGCTGATAAATTAACATATCAGTAACAAACACAAAGCTGCTCTGTGCTGCTAAATGAAGAGAAACATACCAACAGATCTATTTTCGTCTCCGCGTTGTGCTTTTGTGACCCAAACGCATAATGAAGATGACTTTGGAGCACCTTAAAGTAGCTTTATTTCGACAGAGGTGCCACACGCTGCCATGTATTAGGGTCAGGGACGCATTAGTTCGTTTCACTTGTTCGCTTTCCTTTTTGCTTGATAATGACTGCGCTGCTTGTTTCTGCTCCAGGAGAACGGTGTGGAGTTCGAGGCCTGCCTCGTGGCTCAGTGTGACTCTCTGATCGAGGCGCTGACCAGACAGAAAGCCAAGCTGCTCACCAAAGTCACCAAGGAGAAGGAGTACAAACTAAAGGTGAGACTGTCTGATTTTCATCCATCCAGCCTGACAGGAAATTCTACTTCTGATGACTCTTCTAATTAGATAAAACGTGAATCAACGGCGGACCCATCGGTCTGATTAAAACGAATATTTAGAATCGTCATAATTTAATATAAAAAGATTTTGTAATAATCATCTTCAACATGTGACCTTTCTTGATGATTGTGTTGAACTTTACAGGAAAACTCGACATATAAAAAGGCTCATTATGAAGACAGCAAACACATCTGTATGCTTCTTCATTTCTTTACTGATGAGTACTGATGACTAGTTTTCCATAAGGCCAATTTGTTTTATTTGATTATAACAAATGATATTCAAATCAGGCTGCTGTCTTTTAGCTTTATCTGCTTTCGCACAACGGCAGCAGTGTGCACAACTTGTTCTCTGTTCAAATCACACAATGACACAACAACAGCTGTTATCAGGTATTATTCCAGAATTATAATGTATATCCCAGAAAGAAACAACAACCAAAATAAGATGTAGTAGATTCGATGTAAAACAAATGGTCAGTCTTGAAATTAATGCATTTTAAGTAGAAAAAATGTGACGAGTCAAAACTGCAACAAACAACATTAAATGTCCTAAGAGATGCAAAGCAATCAAAATAACACAAAGTCGTTAAAATGGGACAAAAAAAAATAGCACAATGAGATGCAAAATGAGCACAAAGAGACACACAATTAACAACGAGACAAAATGGGACAAAAATAGAACAAAATGTGACGACAGTGGGACAAAGACATTGACGCAATCAAAAGCGAAATGGCCAAAGAGTGATCCTAGAAGGACTGCACAGAGCCGAAATAGCAACAAACTATGCAAAATTACCAAAAAGACACAAATGCCCCAACTGTGACTCAAAACAGATGTAATACAAGCAAAATGAGAACCAAAATGATTAAAGAACAACCACAAAGTGATGCCAAATGACCTCAGGGAGACACAGAATTAACATGAGACACAAAATGACCGTAATGGGACAAAAAATGACCACAAAGAGATGCAAAATGCTGCCAAACACCTGCGAGAAGCACAGTTGGAGATACACAACAAGCACAAATCGTGCCTGTCTGGCTTTCATTGTGGGATGAGTCGGGGGCCTTTTACACATCTGGGCCCAGGGGCCCATCGTTTTATAATCCGTCCATGGGTCATGATTGGAAAAGTATGTTTTCTGGGATTATAATACCTAAAAAAACACATTGCAGTCACAAATGATTTCAGTCTGGCATCCTGTTTATTTTTATTATTATTTTCTGCTGTAAATCCGCTGCTTGGGGTTTCCTAAGTGCCACTGTGTCACATGGATGCCTGCCCAGCGTCAACGTGCCCACCGACCGACTGACCGTCTGGCTTGATGGCGGGGGAGGGGAGAGGAGCCGAGGGCATTTGGACGGAAGCCCCAAGGACAGCTGTAGTCATTATCTGGGGATTGAGATTTAGCCAGAGGGCAAATAGCCGCAGGCTGCGAGGAAGCCGTGACAAGAGACCAATAGCTGATAAACCAAACTCACATCTCAAATACTCATCTGGGCGACAGGCATCAACAGCCGATGGAAAGATTTAACTAGAGGCTTTGTTCATGCTGACAGGAGCGCTGGCTCGACTTTAAAATATAGAACTAGTGAGCTGAGCAGCTGTAGAACTGTGTCTGCTTGAAATTCCATTCATATCCATCCAATCTGCAACAGCAGAGGCTTTGAAGGGAACATATTATGTTTCCTATCACCATAATGAGAACATGTTGTTATTTAATGCATCTGGCAAGTAACAGAGTGTTCATTGACACATACTGTTTTTCATTTGTTTTACACTAAATGATCAGATACTGCACAATAAAATCCACTTGTAGTGTCTTCTTTTGGTTATGTTTAGGCTGACACAGCATTTAACCAAAAGTAGAATGTTTGTAGCCAACCTGGATGTGAACCCGGGATGCTGTTTTTGAAGTTATGAACTTTGTACACCATCTATTCTGACTACCTCCCTCAAAGTCCATACAAATGCAGCACTTCTTTCACTCAAGAACACTCTCTGAACACAGTCCTACTATAGATTACATTACAATGCAACAATTTCACACTACATGAAACAAATTTCTAGAGGACAGGCATTACTGTAGACACAAAAGATAGATGTAACCTCTGACTCTGAAACCTGAAGCCAACATGAAAGAGCTGTAAACCTGCATTGTTTCTAACAGCCAGCAGGGGGCGACTCTGGCTGCCAAAAAAAAAAGTCAGATTGTATAGAAGTCTATGAGAAAATGACCCTATTTCTGCCTTAATTTGTCAACTCAGTGTCAGCTTTCCTAATAAGTTTATGGTCTCAATCATTAGTTTCAAGATTTTTTTTGGATGCAGTTAGATGTTCATGAAAACTGTGCTCCCTTTCATTGGAAAATAGATGACAAAGTAGGGTATGTTTTAGGGGGGGTCACCAGGTGATTGATAGGCCAATACTATTTTACCATCCTGTCCAGTTTGAAAAGACCAAGATAGCGACGGCCAAATTCTAAACTTGAGGTTTCACAACATCAGTCCACAATCCAATCAGTGACGTTGAAGTTGCATCTTTTATACACAGTCAATAGGCATTACCTTTAAAATTAAAGATTTTAGAGACAATATAAATAGGTAAACAGACATAAAACATGAATCAGTAAACACAGGTTGTGAGTTCTCTGAGACCTGTATACTGTGTAAGTATTAGTTGAGCTTGCACTCTTTAATCCTTACTGATAAACATGAAGAGCTTCTGTATGTCTCTTCTGCACTAGATCTCAGGGCTGTCTCATCCCCAAAGTTACAGAGCTTAGTCAAAAGATCAGAAAACTGTTTTAAAGTTTTAGAGTCCCCTCATTGATTTTGTCTGCAAATGCTTGGATACATCCGACTGAAACAGATCCTGAGGTTAACAAGATTTTATCCCATCCTGTGGGTTTTTATTGGTATCTCTTATCTATTTACTATTCATCCATATCTCTTTATCTGGTTTATAAATTTAACGTTGACTTGGCTTGGATCCACTTTGTTGGGTGTAAATGTGTCTGTTGGCACAAATCTTTACCTTTCCTTTCTTACCTGCAGTTTCAGTTTTATGTTTATCTAAATGGCTGTTTCTGCACTGGCGCTATGTAGACAAAAGAAAGTAGAGGAACTGCTCTCATCAGACCACCCTGTTTAAATACAAATTAAATCAATCAATCATATTTCATTTATATAGCACTTTACAATAATACAATACAACAATACAATAACAACCCCCACCCCCAGCCCGGTCCCACCCCACCCCCACAGTCCAGCTATCAATCAAGGACTCTAAAACACTAGAACTGAAGAACTGAGGAAACGCTATCCAAAATGACACGTGCAATGAGGAAATACCAGATGAGAAAAAAATAGAATATACTGGAATAGGACCACTTGACGATTCAATGTGTAACCATATTCAGCGCAGACATGTGGAGGTCAACCTACAAGGTAAGAAGGCTGCTTCATTGTCCTAATGTTAGCCACACTCAGCAAACCCATAGATGCTGTGATCACACTGGGTTAGAAAAGATAACACAGCGCATCAATGACAAGATATGCAAGTTATGCTTCTACCTTCATTTGGTTAAAGGCAAACGTTTCTGAAATTTACATAGAATACATGGTGCTTGGTTGCAAAATGATCACATCCAAATTGGAGCACAACAAGCATTTCATTACTTTTACATTGGTTCGCTAGTCTAAAGCTAATAACAATAATTATAATTAATTAATAATAATACATCTTTAATGAATGTCCAATGTCCAAAGATAACCCTTTATAATAGGATGTTAACCACTCACCTGGATGAAAAGTCTGTGACTGACTTTCTACCACCACACCTCCAAATGCAGACTTCATCACTCTTTATAACGCTACTTTTGTAAACACACATCCACACTTAGAAGCCACAACAGTAAAACCACCTGTCTAGCACGGTTGGCTGTGACTCAGGTGGTAGAGCGGGTGTGTTCTGATCGCAAGGTTGGCGGTTCGATCCCCTGTCCCTTCACAATCAAAGTGTCCTTGGGCAAGAGAAAAGCAGCAAAAGTAAAAATGTGCTATTTGAGTGCAGACCATAATATTATTTGTGTCCTCTTCTTGCTGAGCAAACAGCTCTGACCTGTCAAGACTTCTGAATGTGCTTCAGGACAGAATTAATCTGTGGGATTCCAGCGATCACTCCCCACGTGCCTCAATGACGCTCTGTTATCATTTGGTTCTTGTCCACATCACTCAGATCCTCACACTGCCCATTTTTTCCAACTTAAAACACATACATTTCAAGACTGACCATTCATTTTCTGCCTGATATTTCCCTTCCACTGACAGGTACCACTGTAAAACATGTTAATCACGTCGCCTGTCAGTGGTTTTAATGTTGTGGCTCATTGTTGTACACGTCGTTCCTGGAGACACTCCAACGTGTCATTTTAGGCGTCATTGGCAGTCGACCTGTTTTGTTGTTCAGCTGTGAAGGACGTGTCAGCTTGAGACTGGATGTATTTATTTATTGTGGCTTTGTCAGTCTCACAGTTTCCGCCCACATATCTACAAAGCGCCAGCAGATGTTTCAGAACATCAGAGGGCAGATTAGGAATGTAGGTGTAAAAATATCTCCCACTTTTCTGCTTTTTTTTAATAAAAATAATCATCTAAATGTAATCACTAAGCGTTACACATTATTTGTAGGTTTTCACACTACTCCTACAACACAACAAATGGACAAAACAAACAAAAAAAAGCAATTTTTCCATACATGCGGTATTGCACTGGAGACGGCTTGTGTTTGTTCTTGGATTACTTCAAGCCAAATGTCAGTTATGTAACTGCAGTTCCAAGAAAGCAATACTCCTGACAAGTGTCAGTGGAAGGAGTAGGCTGTACAAGATCTTGATCTATTTCAACTGACCTTCATATTTTCTGTGAACTCC